GGGGGGCGGTAAACGATAGCTATGCGACATGCGCCGTTGTATCTTAGGCAAAGACGGCACCAGAGTGAGTCGGTAACGTGTGTTTACAGATCATCAAATATTGTGCATTGTAGATCGCTGCGGTAGTAGTGTAGGACCCCACCTCCTCTGCTGGGGCGGTCGTTCCGGATGAGTGATATTTCGGCTATCTCAACCTCAGCACCAGTCACCCCTTGGTGTAACCAAGTTTCCGTAATAGAAACTAGGTCCCAAGCATTCGCAACCTGACGTAGTCGAAGTTCGGTAAGTTTACTGAGGAGCCTTTGAGTGTTAGTGTACATACATGAAAGTTTATCAGATTTAAGCAAAGTTTCGGAAGTTGTACAACTTATACGTGAAGTTTCGCAGACCAGTGAGTGGCCGGCGACAGAGTTATGTGCAGGATGAGCCATCCGCGTCACCAGCCGGTGGGCGTTTACTAGCTAGGAGACCACAACTTGCTGAAAGCATCTCAGGAGCGATATTTGTTTATGCTGGTACCGTATGATCTCGGCTGCTAGATACAAACAGTGAAAACACCGAGAATCGCCAATCATTACTTCGACTTCCATCGCAGAGCGTTCGGTCGGTTTGACCCTCGATCTTCCCCAAATGCTTAACGTCTACGTGCGACTGCATATGGAATATGCTATCCAGGCGTGGCAGCCGTGGCAGAAATATGTTCTCGTTGCACCGCAGAATCCCTAACGGAAGGTCAGAAAGAACGTCAGGGGCCTCTTTTATCTGCCTTATCAGCTTTGACTGAATACCCTATGGATGTACAGCAGTCGACATCGGTGTCTGTGGGGGAAGTTCATTATGCTTACCAGATTCTAACGAACCAAAGCCACATTCGCCACTCGCTGCTGGAATCGAGTCACAACACTAACCTAAGATGTCCTGCTCTGTAAGAGACCATACAGTATAGCCAGGTTGAACGCCGTAGAAATTTATTTTACCTCCGCCTGTGTCAGACTCGGTACGCCCTTCCTAATTTTGTTGTCTCTGCTCCCTATCAGTCGACATGTAAAAAACGAGTTGACGATTCTTTGTCTCATTTTCATTACAATTTATAACTTATTAGCCGGGACCTGCAAAAACCAATCAAGCGGGATCTTAGTAAACTCCCAGCCAATGGATTTTTACCTTTAATACGCGGACATCTTCGCACCTCTACATGCGTGTATGATGAGTTCACCAAAACCCACTACACTATACCGCAAGTATATTTTCGCTAGAATTTCTACCCCACGGGACTTGTTGATGAATACATATTTTACCGTTATGTAACACTTTACTTCAGTTAACGCAACGACTGGTTGTGGTTGTCCTCGGTGAAGAATTCGTACAGCTGTAATAACAGTGTAAATTCTACAGATTTCTATACTTCCTGACAAGCATTCTGAATTTCTTGCTGACGGAACACCTAGCTTTCGCTTATTGAAAATGCGTGATCCATTTGTCTTTGCTGAATTAAGGGTTATAACCTGATGAACCTGGTGATATAACTGAACCTATGTATTGCACACATTGTTAGGAAAGAAGAAGTTTTTGCATTTATGGCGACCAGATCAATAGTTGGAAGGTTTTCCGGTCCATCTGTTGGCTTATAGAAGCTCGGCGTTTTTTGGTAAAGTGAACATGGAAGGTGTGGCGAATCATTTTGTGGTGGCTACTTGGAAAAGGTCTAACACATCTATTGTGCAAATACGATACCAAATAAAATTATCAGGTATAAAGTACTAGGCGACTTTTTCGTATAATGTTTCATTATGTTCAGCTAACTATTCTAACAGAAGAAATGAGAACTGTGTGTATGTGTCGGATGGCTGGGAAGACCAGCTGATTTTAGCATGCCTAGATACTTTCATCTATCTTCTGTCTATGTCTCATGTTTGATGAAAAGTCGAAAGTTGAAATGAATTTGTCTTGCTCGGCGTGGTGGTTTTGTTGTGTTGTGAATTCAAACCCGACACGCGGTTGGATGACTACAAGCCTGCTATTTATCCGTGGACGCGGGTTCAAGTTTGCGTAGGGGGAAGCGCGACTATCGCAGTATCCTTAGGTTACGTGCGACTAGTGTTAGTTACGCGGCAGTGAATCGTTCGTATTATGTACCGGCGTATTGCTGACGATTTTTCTAATTGCATCCAAGTGGAATGCAAGATTAGACTCCAGGAACGAACAGACACATAGATTCTGGGAACGGTGTTGGTTATGGATGTTCACACATTTAAAATCACATATGTCCTTTGACATGCACTCATTTTCATTTACTTCAATTCATATTTTGAAAGATGCAAAAGCTTAGAATCCTTTGCTTAGAATAAAATGTATCGGAGTTACACATTGTTTCGTTAACGAGGAATACTTTTACATCGTTGGCTTATGCATGAATACTTAGGAGGCAAAAACTGGTTGCTAATGAATGCCACATAATTTAGTAACACGTATGGAATGCCGTTAATAATAGTGTTTATGAGCAACTTTTCGTTGTATAGCCGGTATATATTATGAGACATCATACGTGTGGCATGATTGTCTGGAAAAGTGGTATCCAGCTTATTGCCCACTAGGGCGAGGATAGAGTAGAGTGAGGATTGTGCATGTCGGGTAAACTGGGGGAGAAGTGATCAAATCAACAGTCAAGTGTATACACTTGCACAATCAGGTCACATCACCCGACAGATCCCAAAAGGTAATCAGAAAGCTCAAGCTGGAATATTGCTCAAAAAACAAATGTTTGTCATCAACAAACTACTGCCCGGAGGTCCGGTATTTCTCAGTAATGATATAACACGGACAGTTGACTATTACACCATACAGTTTGTCCGAATGAGCCGTTTAAATTCTTACCTAAAGGATCGAGCACAAAGAGTTCAGGATGTCCAGCATTCTTCAGCTTTTAGAGATATTAACTGTGTTGTGCAAAGAATTGTACTTGAACGCTTTGTTGCTCCTAAGTACGTGCAAATTATATGCAACTATTTAAAACCTGGGCATAAATAAATTTTGAGAGATCTAACAATTATTTACAAACTTCTAACTAAACCACAGAGAACTACCCACGTAGCATATTTTCGAACATCTGTCATGCTCGAAACTTAGAAATAGAAGCAAGTCAATTAGCTTTACATTACGAATCCCAGGTATTTTGGCACCTGCTGGATTCCAACTGGCTCTCACCTTTAACCGCATATTTCGCCGAGGCTAAGGTACCTGAGGACGCAGTGACTTCTCCTGTTTCCGGAAATATCCTACATAATGTAAGCAAAGGGAATTCTAAAACAAACGAAATCATTGGGTCATTTTTGCGAACCTAATCTGGAGTGCCACACTAACATCCAGAGCCACCATAACCTAAGGTTCACAGTATTTGATTTGCCTATGAAAGCTGGTGGCAAATGAAATCTATTCAACGTAGTACGCATCACCTTTATTGCTCCGCTGACGTCGAGTCAGCTCGATACGCTTCGGATATGGTTCTGTTTATATGCGTGGTTCATGCAATTAAGACGCGTTTGGTATTTCAAATTAAATTGCGACCAGTTAAAAGTCCTTAACGAGTAATCGCGGTTATTCGAAAAAACCAACTTTGTTTTAAATTAATGCAACCAGGTACTTTAATCTCCCGCATACCATGATTGACCAAAAAGTGTCCGCTGGAGTGACCCATGGAGCTCCACTAGTGATCAACATTGTTGTCCTTGGTCATCCTATTTCGACCATTATGGATCACTATGTTCACCCAGAATACTTTTCTAACGCATCCCCATCATATGCCGTGAATGCATTATTCGGGATGCAAATACCGTCAACATTAAGCGTAAATATATTCCCAAAGTATGTTTACTCAATACTATAACCGTTAGGCAAAACCGAAAATTAAGCTAATTCATCATGCTTACTCTCAATCAGCAGGCTTGGGCTAGTCTGGAAAGGCATCACACGACGGGGTTTCGACAGAAATTCATCCCAAATGTGTCCAATTGGGACGGTCAGGAGCAAGAAACTAGGTCACTCAGGGCGCTCAAACGGTCACTCGATATGGCTAAAAGCATGATTTAACTGAATTGTAAAACCTTTTGGCACAGACGGCAATGAAAAAGATGTATACTCCTATTTACCAACATCAAGACATATCACCACATTTGTTTTCATGGTAAAATTTTGCCGCTGCGAGTTATCAAAAATGCGCCCGCAAATACAATCAAGTGGCCGTAAATCTGAGTTCTCAACATAAAGCAGTTAAAGAATAATGGTACCAAATTAGCACTGTAAAAATATTTCGATTGGCGAGACTGAACAAATAGTGCTGCATACTAACTTGGTTTTGTATCTGTTTTATCATATTAGTCAAATCTTTGCTTGATCAACAATCCAATGCTTATAGTAAACCGTTTAGTGAACTAACCTTTGGAGGGATGTACCAAATAAATTTTACAATACATGAGCAGGTGGCACATATTTGTTTACCTAAGGACTTTCTACCCATAGTTTGCGAGATAAAAACGTGTAATCGTAATCATCACACCAGACCTAATTCAAATAACGAAGTGCTCACATTTTCCATACTCAAAGTAACAAAAATTGCTATGATAACAATGTTTTTTAATAACAGTGGTGGCGGAAATAGTTCTTAAACTTTATCTACTAAACAATTTACTCCTTTTTCCCTTTTAGGCTTCCTGCAAATCCAACACGCTTTCTGGTGCAAACATTACTTGCAAGCATTGTTGAAATGCCCTGAATTTATAGTTGGTTAATAAAAATAGTAAGCATCTTTAATACTTTGCTTAAACCTGTTCACAAAACGTCTCTAGGAGTAATCAGACTTGGTTTTGATTATATGCTCTGTAGTCAAGATATTTTAGGCTCTGAGAAACAAGTGTTTACGTTAGTAAGCTTATAAAATAAATATCGTTGTTCCTGTATTATTGATAACAATGTGGTTGATAGATGTAAGACAAAAATTGACTTACTAAATGTTTCGGAGGATATTTCTGTCACAAAATAACATTTGATTAGAAAGAACAGTAACACTGACATGATACCGTTTGATTAAGCTTGAATTGAACTTGTTGCATACGTTGGTAAACCCCGTTAGATATATAGGATCAGTGATTGTGAAATTCGGTTCGCGATTGGATAGTGAACCTACGCAAGACAGCGCATAACCATTGGTTGACGACGTTTTCTGAGCAACCAGCATCCAAATGGTCGATATTTAAAATCGCCATCATAGAAAAACTGGTGCGCATTTACTAGTATATTTAAACGCATAAAAATAACAAGATCATACTAAAAGTATCCTGAAATACGACTGCGTGCATTAGCCAGCATAACTAAAGTCACGAGGTTGACTATGCTAAACTGTTTAAGCGCGCAGTCCACATTTGTTAATGAATAAAGGTGGTCCGTAGTAACGAAAGGTCTCCATTCATCCCCATAAGACTTACTGCTCTAGGTGTCTAATGTAAATAAATTAACGCAATTTTTCCGCAATCTAAACGACAACAGGACATGTTTCAGTGAAACAATAACCTATTCCATGCTCTGATTCAGTGAGGAATTTAATTGCATCGTTGCACTTCTATCCATAGAGATTCACTAAATTATCCTTCCTCACGTATTTCAGAACTAATCTTGTTTGCTGTTTCGCTTTCCCTTGCTAATTGCGATTTCCCTCAAGTGAACCCGTTCCCTCTACCGGTTAATCTAGTGCTTATTGGGAACCTATTACGCGATCGTCATAAACCTTCGTCCCAGTTTCAAAGAATCCACTGTGACCCGGTATGAATATCATAACAGCGTGGAGATTCCCCGGTTTGCCTGTGTAAAATTCAAACTAAAATTATTATTGCATTGTATACGTACGAGACCGGTGCGGAGTTCTGAACTGGTTGTTGAGTTTGATTTCCCGAATTGAACATCGCTATTTGCTTAATGCTCGTTTCAACTGTAACGCACGATCACTCCCGTGTTCTGTGCATTTTTCGTTCTCCTAACTAGCAGGGTGCAATGGTGTCTTTTGGAGCTAGGCAAACAGGAAACGTTTGCCGTGCAAATAAAAGATTCCCTGTAACTCGACCTGCTTTTTGGAATAGAAATCTGAGCTCGCATTAAATCGGAGACCCCGGAAACGAAAGTACAGCAAAGTTGAATATTTTGAATTTATCTCCTTTAAGGTCGTTCTATTTAATTTTCTTATAGTTTATTTTTGCATAAAATAGCGATTTTTTGGTAAGTTTTAAACCATGGATTCTGTAGACCATAAAGTATTGTCTCCCGTTAGAGATGCATCTCTCTCTGCCCCACAGTCTTGGGATACGGATCTCAATTTGTAGTTTGCTCATCTTAAAGGCGGATATTAAAACCGAATAATAAAGTCCGATTACGTACAGCAAGCTTCTGTCCTATCGCCCCAAGCAGATATTCATACAGATTGGAGACGTCATAATTTCGAAAGAAACCCGTTATGAGGCCCTCGAGGAGGCCAATATTAAGCGTGCCATGCCCTCTGAGAAAGTCCGCCTGCAGCAACCTTACAAGGATCAAGAGTTGTGCAAAAACGGCCCTCCACTCTGCTGCAGAGATACAGAAACGCGTTGATTCATACCATGGACGAAACCCTGCTCCGTGAACTATGGTAACAGAGGCGACTGGAAAATACACAAGCGATTCTCGCCATCGTTAGCTCCGTTTCGCTTACCCAACTAGCCGATGTAGCTGATCGATTCATCGAACGATCACAGCCACAAGCCGACACCAGTAAGGTAAACACCGTCGCGTCCCACAGCATTTCTATCACCAGCTTACAGTGAACTATAGAAGCGCTGCAAGCACAATTTGCGACACTTAGTCGCCAAGTCCAGCAGCTCAATATGAGCGGTTGCCATCACAGCCTATCCGAATAAGCCACCAAACGCTCCAAGTCTAGCAACAAACATCCTTACTGTTAGTATTACCAAGGTTGTGCCAACGATGCCCGTGTGTTAAGCCTTGCGCCTTCGCCGAGAAGCAGGGAAACTTCTCGGTCTTCCCGTAATGAGGACGGACGTGACCGGTCAAAACCAAAGTCGTCTCATCTGCGTTAGGCATTTAACTTCTAGTACCGATTTCTTAGTGAACAAAGGAATTAAATTAGTATAATGCCCCGTAGCTCAGATGAGGTCATCTCACTATCTTCGACCAGATTAGGTGCAGCTAATAGCACACCACTCGCAATTTTCGGCGAAAAACTGATAACATTCAGTCTAGGCCTCCGAAGAACCTATCGTTGGGCTTTCACAGTGGCAGCCGTGCTTATTGCTATCATAGGCATAGATTTTCTTTAACATTATGACCTTATCATGGAAGCTAAAAGGCAGAAGTTTATCGACCCTGAGACATATCTCTGTGCTATCGAAACCAGCGTCAAAGTGGCCGCGGTCACCACTATTCCTGTACTGTTTCACACTTTACAGCCTCCCATAGACTTTTATAACCAGCATCCTAAGCTCGTTCTTATTCAGAACGACCTATTTCCCGTGAAACCAAGCGCCATGCATCACATTTGCACTAAGGGTTCATGCGCTTTGGCCCATTTCGCAGACTAGGCCCAGACAAACACGAAGCGGCTAAGGCGGAATTCGACCAAATGTTAGAACTTGTTATAATCCGCCCGTCTAAGATTCCATGGGCATCACCATTGCACATGACACCAAAGAAATCCGGTGACTAACGCCCTTGTGATGACTACAGGGCACTTAACAAATTTGCCGTTCCGGATGAGTGTCATATTCCGCATATGATGACTGGACCACAGCTTTAGCTAGTAATTTGATCTCTAACAAAATCAACCTAGTGCGCGCCTACCAGCAGATACCGGTGGCGCCAAACGATGTACATAAAACCGCAGTAATCATACTGTTTGGTCCATTAGAGTACCTCCTAATGCCGATTGGTCTCAGCAAAGCTGCTCAAACATTTCAGCGTTTCATTCAGGTAACGCGAGGATTGGAAGGTGCTTATGCATATTTCGATGACGTTCACATCGCCACCTATTCTGACGATGAACATCTTTGACATTTTGACGCTCTTTTCCAACGACTGACTCAAATAAATGGTACCGGCAACCTTAACAAATGCGAACTTGGCTAAAACTCCATCGACTTGGAAATAAGATATCCCCTGCTGGCATTGAAGCTCTACAAGTCAAAATACAGGCACTTAAGGACTATACGGCTCTTAGCTCCTTCAAACATCTCTACCCGTTCCCTGGTTAGGTCAACTATTACAGACACTTTATTCCTAACTGCGTGGGCCTTCTGCAACCAAGGGCTCAATTTCTCCGCAGCAAGCAAGGGGTCTTCCCTCTTTCCGGACGACGCCAAAGCGGCTTTCGAGAAGCTCAAAGACGCCACCACAACTACAGCGCCTATCGCTCATAAAGACACAACTGCGACACTTTCTCTGACGACTGCTACATCGGCCATCCATAGATATCCCTAGCATTCTTCTCGAAACGTTTGCAACCCGCTGAATCGCGTTACAACAATTTTGACAAAGAACTGATTACCATCTATGGAACAATGGTGTATTACGGTTAAAAAAGTCAATGATTAACGAGTCACGTGGGATGGAAATTATTGCGAAAGTAAATTGCATAATAAAGTGGAAAGCGTTTTGGCAGAATCACCATAGACTTATGTAGAATAGCGATGTTCGGATATTAAAAGTATAAATCCATTGGTTGGGAGTGTGGTAACACACCGTTTGGTAGCAGTTTGTAGCCCCTGGCAAACAAGTCATATAATAAAATGCAGGAGAGACAACGCGTCGTCAACTCGTTTTTAAATATCGCCAGATTGGGAGCAGAGAGGATATAATTAGGGAGGACGTACCAAGGTTAGCACACGCGGAGGGAAAAGAAATTTATACGGCATTCAATCTAGCAATACTGTATCTCAGTTTCAGAGGATGACCACTTACTTTAGTTTGTGGTTCAATTCCAGCAGCAAGCGGCAAATGTGGCTTTGGTTCGATAAAAGCTGGTAAGCATTCTAAAATTCCCGAGCAAAAAACGATAGCGACTGCTGTACATTCTTAGAGATTTCAGTCCAAGTTGATAGGGCAGATGAATGAGGCTCCTCTTTTTCAGGATATTTCGCACAGCAAACCTAGTCAAACAGTAGATAAACACGGTGATTGCGACCCAGTGAATTGCTTGTAACTATTCCACCGATCATGTTTTTTGTTAGTGAGCATAAGGTAAAATACGAACGGTCTGTTAGCAGTTCAAAATTCGATGAGATGTTACGTAGTTGTACAAGAGTGACATGAAATTAGCTCTTGCAAACAGGCTTAAAACTTTGCACGATCGGTTGCTGGCATTTCCATGTCGTGTACACTAAAGCCTCTAGCGATGAGAATAGCGCTGCATGACTTGTACAAAGCAAGCTGAAATACGTGGTTCAGCTTGGAGTCCATTTCCGACGTAGAGTATGGTGGAGGGTAAATTAGGGCTAGCAGATATGTGTCCTTGTTCCGCAACCATAGCCGGCACCAAAGCGAATCAGAGACGAGGATTTCCGGGTGCTCGATAACTTCACAGCGGAGTTTTGCATTATAATAAAGAATTACACCATCACCCCTTGAAGTTCCATTGTTCCGAAGCAGCGACATAATGGTTAAATTGATCCCAGAATCGGTTATCTCAAGAACTCTGTAATCAGGACTGGGTCCCGCAGTTATGAGATCCGGAGTTGTCCAATTACTTCCAACGTACTAAGAAGTCATTACACACTTGTGTGCAAACCGGTTAGTGTTTCTGTCGTCAGGAGTGCGTTGATGGATGTCAAATTTGTGTTAGTTGTTAAGCCGACCTATAGGTGGGCGGTCTGCAATTGTTTTTTTTGGTCAATTGTCGGTTTGTGAATTTCAGTCAAGCTGCATGGCATCGCAGTGTTCCAGATCAGAGGTTTCACACGTGCTTCGCCCTGTCCTATTGTGTGTCGTGAGTGCTGTTGTTTCGACTTCCTCGCAGGGCTGTGCAGACAATGAATTTACGTCGGTTGC